TATGCTGTGTTGTTCCGCCATGTTGGCCCAGACAAACACAAAAAGGGCATCGAGAATAAACATGATTTGTGTCATCACCTGCCAGGCCGAGTACTCGTGACCTAGACGCTCTTCAGGCTTAGATGCTGATCGTGATGCGCTGTATTATGATGCAATGTGATACGCCGTCCAGCGCCACGCTGTGCTAGAGATGCGCCGTGCAACGCTGCGCTACTATATGCATGTTTCTGTGCAACGTCATGTTGCGTTGTGTTGTGCGGTGCGCTGCTGTCCGATGGTGCGACATGACGTCCAATGCTACGCGAGGTTTGCTTAGGCAGACCATATCATGCAATGCTACGTCGCGCAAGCACGCGCCATGTTGCTTGCTGATATGCTGCGCCGATGTACCATCGCGCGGTATACGGTATGATGGCATGTATCGGTGCAGCGCAAAGTGATGCGCAGTCTGAAAGGGTATGCCCTCTAAGAGGTCGCGGTTACGCCTGAAACGGGTGATCCGAAAAAGGACTCAGCAGTGAACGAACCTCTTCGTGAGAGCTCTCTTTGAAGGGGCCTGCCCCCTACAGGGGGGTGCTGTAGTGTGGGCCAGGCCTGGCCCGCACTACAGCACGGAGCCTTCGAAACAGTTTCGTCATGAATGATTTTGAAGGTCCCGGGCCTCCAGGGGGGGGGGGCTGTAGTGCGGGTGGGGCCTGACCCACACTACAGGGGGGAAGGGTCTGCAGACCCCCCCCCCTTGCAGTGCGGGCCAAGCCTGACCGGCACTACAGCCCCCCCCCTCTTGGAGGCGCGCAGCCTTCGAAACAACGGCGGGGGGCTGTGGTGCGGGTCAGGCCTGACCCGCATTACAGCACCCCCCCCGGAGGTCCGAAGCCTTCCAAACAATTTCGTCATGAATGACTTTGAAGGTTCCGTGCCTCCAGGGGGGGCTGTAGTGCGGGTCAGACCTGTCCCGCGCTACAGGACCCCCCCCCTGGAGTCCAGAACCTTCGAGACATTTTCGTTAATATTGATTCTGAAGGTTCCGGGCCTCCAGGGGGGATGCTGCGGTGCGATGCCCGAAACCTTCGAAACAACTTCGTAAACTTTGATTTTGAAGGTTATATACGGCACTTTGGGGGAGGGGGCTGTGGCGCGGGTCGGGCCTGACCCGCACTACAGCACACCCCCCTGGGGGCCCGGAACCTTCGAAACGATTTCGTCAAGATTGATTTCGACGGTTCCGCGCCTCCAGGGGGGGTCCGTAGTGCGGGTCGGGCTTGACCCGCATTACAGGGGAGGTCTTCGCAGACCCCTTTGTAGGGGGCAGCGTGCTCACCACTGCTCTCTGTCAGATCACCCAACTTACCCACAGGAGGGGCCTAGGAGGGTAGATGCTTTAAGAGAGACCCATCCAAAGGAACATGTACTTCTGGTGGAAATTCATTCGAATATCACAAGGAAAGTCACGACGTACCAAAAAAGCGCATGGGATAGCTTTGCTTTCTATCTCATAGCGCAGCTCAGCAGCGTTGAACTGCAAACCAACGCACAATGCGGCGAGGCATATACGTATGTATATGTATATACAGAGATGTGCAGCGAATGGCTTTAGCCTTACCAAAACATGGGAACTGCGTACGTTTAGTCACCATTTCGCTGCTTGCCCCAGCGTAGCAAATATCACCGCATGGCGCTACATAGCAAAGCGTAGCATAGCATGGCATTGCGTCGCATATCACCGCAGCACTAGAGAGCAATGCACATAGCGGAACAACACAGCACAACGCGCCGCAGCATCGAACAGAAGCGCGCAAAAGCACACCACATCGCATCACAACACATCACCTCTTGTAGGCTGGGTCAGGCGCGACCCGCCATACAACATCCCCCCTCTCCTGGTAACCCGGAGCTTTCGAAACCACTTCTGGCGCGGTCGTTTTGAATGTTCTGGGCCTCCAAGGCGAATCTCCTGAGAGCAGTGTCGGTGCAAGGATGTGACCGGTGCCTTGCTCGGCTTGAAGATACGACATGGCACCGGTGGACCGGTGCCCTTTTGCAGTTGGCTCACAGAGTTGAAAGGGCACCAGGCAGACTTCGCAGAACTATCATGTGCGCCAGAGCCTCATGATCTGGTGACTCTTGGCTCAAGTTCCTTTGTCTGACATGTTTTTCTCCGACCGCAGATGGATGTCATGGCACAGTTCAACAGCCTCGAAATGCAGAGCAGCGCAGAACGTTGTATAGCACGGAGCGATGTGGCATAGCGTAACATGGGAAGCGTATACATTGAAGTACACGTCCGTGGCATACTTCAGCGTAGCAGGTATGACGGCATGGCGCTAACTGATAGAGCGTCACGTAGCAAGGCATGGCATCACACACCGCTCCAGCACCGTAGAGCAATACGCGGTAGCAAAAAACACCACAACGCACCACAGCATCGAACAGAAACCCGCACAAGCATACGGTAGGTTTGCGTCGTGTCGACTCGCGGCGACCCCAGCGTGGGCGTTCAAGGTTGAACGCCGCCGGCGACCCAGAATCGATCGATGTTGAACGATCGGACGTTGCGGCAGCGGCAGATCATTCAAGGTTGAACGATCCCTGCGGTGTCAAAAACCAACGCTGGGGTCGGCACGACACGAACCTGCCGTACCACATCACAGCCGTATCGCATCACACTTGGAACGAGCTCCTCAAGCAAGCCTCGCCAGGGACACGGAGTGAGCCCGCTGCAGACAGCCCCCCCCCCCCCCCCGCGGCATAGTTGAGGTCTGATGCTTGGGGGGGGGGTCTTGGGGAGGGGAGGAGGAGGAGGAAGGAAGATGGGGAGGAGGAGAAGGAGGAGAAGGAGGAGGAGGAGGAGGAGGAGGGGAGAGAGGAACGACGACCTGGACATGCGGACCTGGCAATGTCCTGAGCAAGCCGAAGCAGTTCCCCCCCGACATTGCGGAGGGGCTCCCGTTGTGCATTCTCTTGGGGGGGGTCCGGGGGGACCCCTCGAAATCTAGCCTGGGCCACGGGCGGAATGCCGGCGGAACCTGGCGGAAGTCCTGCGGCACGCGGCTTCAGGCGACACGGGCGGCCTCAGAAGGCTTCCAGAGAGGGCCCGATACGATTCAGGATCGCCCCCAAGACGCTGCCGACAAAGATCGCCCAAGATAGCCGCGAGGTGGCCCAGGACGGCCTCGACAAAGGCTAAAAAGCCCAACCAAATCGCCCAGGAGGGCTCCCATAGGACCTCCAGGAGGGCCTCCAAAGACTCAAACCATAGGTTTTCAATAGGTTTGAACGGCGTTTGCAGTCCTCGAGTTCCCGGGCTGCCGACTGTCCACGAATGCCCTGGAGGCCTCCGAGATTGCTCCAAGATGGCCCCAGATTGCCCCATGACTGTCCAAGAATGCCCAGACGGGCTGCCGACTGTCCACGAGTGCCCCAGAGGGCCCCGAAGCGGCCCCAATGGGCCCAAGAGGTCCCCCAGAGCGTCCTGGAAGGCTCCAAGAGGACCTCAAGGCGGCCTGGAGAGGCTCCGAAGAAACCCCAAGAGGCGCATGGCCCCCCCCACACATACGCTCCCAGGAGGCCCCCAAGAGGCTTCCATGACGCCCACTACGCCCGTACTTTGCACGTTCCGCGCGCGCACCCCGCAAAGCGAGCGGAATCCCCAAGAGGCCTCTCGGAGAGCACGCGAGCTTCCGAGAGGCGATTCTCAGGAGCGGCCCGAGACGCCCGACAAGGCTTTCCTGGGGAAGGGGGAGGCGGTGGCAAGCCAGCCCTGGGGAAGGGGGGGGGCGGTGGCAAGCCCCGCGCGCGTCGCGCGCGCGCGGGCGCGCGAGGGCGTCGCCGTCGTCGTCGCCATCGTCGTCGTCGCCGCCGTCGCCGCCGCCGCCGTCGCCGCCGCCGTCGTCGTCGTCGTCGTCGTCGTCGTCGTCGTCGTCGTCCGCGTCGGCGTCGGCGTCGGCGTCGGCGTCGGCGTCGGCGTCGGCGTCGTCGTCGGCGTCGGCGTCGGCGTCGGCGTCGGCGTCGGGCGTCGGGCGACGTGCGTCGTGCGTCGTGCGTCGTGCGTCGTGCGTCGTGCGTCCTGCGTCGTGCGTCCTGCGTCGTGCGTCGTGCGTCGTGTGTCGTGGTCGGTCGTCGTCGTCGTCGCCGTCGCCGTCGCCGTCGCCGTCGCCGTCGCCGTCGTTGTCGTCGTCTCCGTGGTCGTGCGTCTTCCGTCGTCCGTCGTTTGCCGTCGTAGTCGCCGTCGTCCAGCGTCGACGCCGCCGTCGTCGTCAACCGACGCCGCCGCCGACGCGGTCGCCGCCGCCGTCGTCGCCGTCGTCGTCGTCGTCGTTCGACGTCGTCAGTCGAAAGTTCTTTGGACGCTTATGGCGGCTCGTCGCCACGGCGAGACGCAGCTCGAATAACTGGCTGGGATGGACCCCCGGAGGGGTCTGGAGACCGAGGTTGAGCGGATGTTTGTCGTCGTCGGTCGTCGTCGCCGCCGCAGTCGCCGAAAGCCGTCGAGGGCCGCCGAAAGCCGCAGAGCGCCGCCGAAGGCCGCCAAGGGCCGCCGAAAGCCAAAGAGGACCGCTGAAGGCCGCCGAAGGCCGCCGAGGCCGAGGAGGAGGAGGAGGAGGAGGGGGAGGAGGAATAGGAGGAGGCAAGGAGGAGGAGGAGGAGGAGGAAGTAGTAGGACTTAAAAAGAGGACGGAAGGGGAGGAGGACAGGAAGAGGAAGTGGAGGAGGAGAGGAGGAAGAACAGGACCAGCAGCAGGAGGCGGAGCTGGCAACTGGATCATGCACATCGGGAGCCTACTTAGCAGAACAGAAGCCGACTTAGCAGGAACACGACCTCAATGTCGGTGCAGCGATGTTTCTGCTCCCAGTTCTGGCTCCTGCTCCAGTCCCGGAGCCGTTTATTAGCCGTTTCGGGTCGCCGTTTTTTTTTGTTGCCGCTTCCATGTTCAAGAGACGTTGTTTCGTAAACGGTGAGAAGAAAAACAACGGGCCTGCCGTTTCCGGGGGCCACTAAGGCCGCGCGGGGCACGGCGCGGCGTGGCCCAGAGCGCCCTCCAGCTCATCTCGGCGGCGAGCCTGAGACCCCAGACCCCCTCGGGTTTCGGAGGAGGGAGATGCGACACCAACACCACCAGGGGGCCCACCTCCATCGAGGAGGTCCACGATGCCTCCCCGAGCTGCCTCCCCGAGCTGGAGGCTGGAGATGTCTCGAGCGAGCGGGGGGACCACACCACCAGGGAGGCCCCCCTTGCTCCTCGCATAGCCTTGCCCTGTTGGTGTTGGCGTCGCCTTTCCTTGTTCCTAGGGTTCTGAAAAATCATGGCGGGAGGTTTTTCTACATATTCGGCCTCTCGGGGCCCTCACTGGGCCTCGGGACCGTCAACAAAGATTCAGGATGGCCCGTGGAAGGGGCCCAGACTTCTGGGGGGCCGACGCTGCGAACAAATCACGAAATCGGGGGTCTCTGGAGATCCTGGCTGTGCATTGTTTTCACACTGGGCGTTTTCGCTCGTTGTTTCGGGCCCCGGGGACCTCACAGATCGTCCAGCTCCAAAAACGGCACAGACAGATCGGGATGTTACCAGGGTGCTTCACTGTTTTTCGACGTCGGATCTCAGGGGAGCCCAGGGGGGGAGTGAAAGGGGGCGGGCCTTCTCAGAAGGCTCGGAAGGCCTCGGGCCCTCCTGGAGGAGTCTTCTGAGCCTTCCCCGAGGGCGCGGAGCATGGTTCAGAAGGCCGGAGGGCTTCTGAGAAGCCCCGCCGCCTTCTGGGAAGGCCTTCGCCTTCTCGCTTTCCCCCCTGGGCGCGCCGCCGATCATCGGGAGCCAGGGCTCCCGCAGCCCGCTGGTGAACTGGTACCTGCACGAGATCGGCCAGGCGTTCGAGATGGTCGACGCCGGCTCGGTGGACCGCTCGTCTCCAGGCTTTCCGAACCCTTTCGGTCAGATCCCTGCGCTCCAGGACGGGGATGTCAAGATCTTCGAGTCTGGTGCCATCCTGATCTACCTCGCGCACAAGTACGGTGGGCTCGACTCCCCCGAGCTGCTGGCCGCTGTGACCAAGTGGATCGTCTGGTCGAACGCCTCCCTGGACCCCGTGGTCTTCATAGAGAACGAGCAGGGGCAAGTTCTGGACACTGGCCTCAGGGGCAGCCCGAAGCAGATAAACCGCCTCGAGCAGCTGCTCGAGGGCAAGAAATGGATCCTCGGCGACGAGTTCTCCGTGGCCGACGTGGCCATTGCGTCCTACCTGCTGTACGGCGTGATGTTCTTCCCCGACGTGAACATTGGCAAGTGGCCCAACATTGCAAGGTACATGGCGGCAGCTGCGCAGCGCCCTGCCTACGCGAGGGCGTTCGGGGAGAGGACCGCCCAGATGCTGGCGGTGAAGTGCCAGGAGGCCCCCAAGGACGACAAGCTCTTCGGCATCTTCTGACCAGCGGCCCTGCGGCACTCCGCGCTTTTCTCGGGCGGCCTCGCGACAGCAGTTCCCGTTCCAGGGGGGACAGCCGAGGAGAAACAAATCACAGAGGGAGGGAGAGAGAAATAGAGAGAGAGAGAGAAGGACCCGTGTAAAGAGAAGGCGCGAGCCCCATGCGAGGCACTTCGATGGACAAAAAGATACCGGGCACAAGAGCAGGGTCAACAGTAGTTGTTTTTTTCAGAGACTGAGAGTTCAGCAGCAGCAACAACACCAAGAAAACAAGAGTTCCCTTCGCGGAAGCCCATTTCAGGCACCCACCCAGGGATGGTGTAAGAGCGCCCAACCGCTTCTCGGGGCGTCCCGGATCAGTTTTTGATGGTCCCAGGGCCCGAAAGCGGCCCATGGAAGCCGAAATGATTACATGAAGAACGCCCTGGTCGAAAAATTCGAACCGTGGGAGAAATGGCGGCATCGCGCTCCAGCCATAGGGTAGGAGGAGATTATCATGCAAGGGAATGACTAGACTGGGTGCGAGGCCAGGCGTAAGAGCGCAAGTGCGACACGTCGGCAAGTGGGAGCACGCCTGTCGTGGCGGGTCCAGAAGCGTTGAGGAGTGATCACCGTGAGAACTTGGCCCGGCATGAGTTACATTTGGCGCCTCGTGTGCGCGCCCTCCTATCAGGACTCAAGGCCACCTCTGGTTGCGCTGCACCCGCTGCTTCGCTGTTGCCGTAGCCGCTTCCCTCGTCAGCACATGCGTAGCATTGGCGTGAAAGTGAGGTTGCGGGAAAGTAACGGCAATCCCTCCATCACCCAGGGTCAACCACGATGAATTTCCCAGAGCCTCAGCAGCCGCCAGGCGCTTATAGCTTGTGGGTCGTCGGATTGTGTTGTTCGTTGACGTCAGAGTCGCGCCCCAATGCATACCGCTTGACCAACATCGTGCGCCCAGGGTAACACCACAAGCTCCACAGAACCTCAGCATCCGTCAGCGTTCATAGGTCGTGGGCCCGTCGTATCTTTGATCGTTGCTGTCAGAGTCGCGCCCCAGGGCATATTCCTTGACCAAGTTCGGGGGATTTGCCTACCTGCTGTGGGGCGGTTTCGGCCTCTATGCGGCTGCCTCAGCTCTGGATCCCACGAGTGCCGCACGACAGAGGAAGGACTATCGAGATCAGTCTGATCATGTGATCGGGCAACTGACTGTAGCCAGCAGCTCAGACACAAGCGCGACGTTGGCGGATGCTCACCTTATTTTTAAACTGGCTACTTAGAGCGCATTGGCTGACCGTGTCTGGCCGACCGAGGTGACCATCATGAACGTAGCCGTTGACGAACGTGACTGCAACGTCAGAGGTGTGCTATCCGGGGGGCTTGTGCCAGAATCAACACGCGGTGTTGAGTAAAACGAGCTTCTGCATGTATGGTTTACTCCCAGTCTGAGTTTGCTGGACTGACCAGTGCGTAGGGCCAGGCTTGCAGGGTCACTCGGGTGATGGCGTGGCCGGCAGCAGGGTGGGTCGTTACAAAGCCACTGATAACCGAAGGGGTGAAGGGTGTTTGGGCTGATGGGGAATCCTAGAGAGTGCTGGAACAGGTGAGAGAGGCGCGCCGCCCCTGTGCCGCTACATTGGTCGGCCCCTCTTGGAGCCTCTCCTGGCGGGCGTTTTGTGAAGGTCGCACGCAGCGCGGAACTGGGTGCAGAGCCGCGCTTCTGCAGCATGCTCAAGGCATGCGGCAGGCGTCGAGGTAGGAGAAGCGAGCTGGACGTCGTGGCGGAATCTCTGGAGGAGGAGGAGGAGGAGCAGAAGGCAGAGGAGGAGGAGGAGGAGGAGGAGGAGGAGGAGGAGGAGGAGGAGGAGCAGGAGGAGGAGGAGGAGCAGCAGCAGGAGGAGAGGAGGGGGAAGGGGATGAGGAGGAGGAGGAGGAGGAGGAGGAGGAGGAGTCGGAAAAGGAGAGGAGCAGGAGAAGGAGGAGCAGGAGGAGAAGGAGGAGGAGGAGGAGGAGGAGGAGGAGCAGGAGGAGCAGGAGGAGCAGGAGGAGGAGGAGGAGGAGGAGGAGGAGGAGGAGGAGGCGGAGGAGGCGGAGGAGGCCTGGAGGCTGGCCTCCTGCTCCTCCGCCCGTGCCCGCGCCCCGCTCGGCGTGAGCCGTGCCCGGCCCGGGGCAGGCCTGCCCCGCTCGCGAGCCTGCCTCCGGCGGCCGCGCCGTGCCCGTGGCGTTCAAGTCGGGCGCGTCCCCCCTTAGAGGGGAAGTTTCGACGAAAAATAGAATAATACTCCAACCATATTCCCAAATGGAGAAACAATACTAAACAGAATAGTCCCCCGACTATTTCCCCACATGCTTCGTGGGGTTCTGGTTTTCTTCCCTTCCGCGTCTCACCCGCGTCTCCTCCTCCTCCTCCTCCTCCTCCTCCTCCCTCTCCTTCTCTTCCCAGCTGCGCTGCACCCGCGGCTGGAAGAGAAGGAAAGGGAAAGCACGGCAGGCGCGGCACTCTCTCGACACCAGGAGGGTGCGCAGAGGGTGCGGTGTCTATGCGTTGCAGGCGCGCAGGGCACGGCAGGCGTGGGAATTCTCGACACCAGAGGGGGTGCACATGGGGTGCGGTCTCGGCTTCAGGCGCAAAGGGGGCCTGGTGGTTTTTAAGCGTGATCTTTTTCAGCTCCAGACTGGATGATTCGGCGGGCTTTCGGTCCTCCGAGGGTTCCACGCTTCTCTCACTCTCTCTCTCTCTCTCTCTCCCTCTCGCTCTCTCTTCTGTGTGTTTTCGTTCGTCGCGCATTCCTTTTCCTCCTCATCCTTCTCCCACATTCTCCTCATCCTCTTCCTTTACGGAACAGGATCAAGCAACACCATAGGAAAAAAACAAACCCAAAAAACAATAAAAACAATCCTCGGGAACTTCCTGGGGGGTGAAGTGGAGGGGGGAGCGTCCCTCAGGATTGTTGTCTTTGCTTTTTTTGTTTTTTTTGTTTTTTGTTGTTTTTTTGTCCTATGGTTTTGCTTGATTCTTCTCCGCAAGGAGATTCTGTTTGGGAGGAGGAGGAGAAGGAGGAGGAGGAAGGGGAGGAAGGGGAGGAAGGGGAGCAGGAACAAGGAGGAGGAGGAGGAGGAGGAGGAGGAAACGAATGAGGAGGAGGAGGAGGAGGAGGAGGAGGAGGAGGAGGCGGAGGCAGCAAACGCGAGCAGGCACGCCGCACTTCGCCCGAGGCTCAAACTGCCCGCGGCGCGCCCGCGCCCACCCCACGCCACCTGCAGCGCTCCGCCCTCAGCCCCTTGGCATGGGAAACCCCAAGCCTGGAACGGCCGCCTACGAGAAGAAGGGGGAGCGCAACTGCGTTGTGGACAGTGATAACACCGCAGCTTACGATTGGGGTTGCGCGCATGCGTGTTCACTCGTGCGCGCGTGACACGGCCGCAGCAATCTGCATCTCGAGCGTTGTGATTCGGAGAGGCCAAGCCCCGCCCACTTCTCCCTGCGGCAACGTGGCCGCCATCAACCCCGCGGTGGTGCTGCCAGGTAGCCTGGGGACTTCGCTCGGCCTGCCCGGCTACGCGCCAGGCTTAACGTTCGGCGAGTCGCTGCAGCACATCGAAAACATGAAGGCGAACGACCACCCATGCGTCCACGTCAGCAGGCTGGATACGGCAGGGCAGTGCGCAATCGCCGATCTACCCGCGCAGTTCGCGACGGAGTGCAGCAAGATGATCGTGCACTTCGCGGATTACCTGGGCGACTACGAGGGCGACATCCCATGGGGAACTCTGCGCGATTGCGCGAAGACTTGCGACTTCAAGAACACGCCCGAGCCCTTCTCCCTGAAGAAGGAGCCACCTGGCCAGTACTCCATGCAGGCGTTCGTCATCAAGAAGCCCGACGGCAAGCACGACATCCTGAAAGACGTGAACCTCCTGGGGGTGTCCACCAGGACGGATTCGTGCCTTCAGATGTGTCGCGGCACTGGCCTGATATGGCGCTACGGCATCGAGTTTAGGGTTGGGCGCCTGGCCGTGCAGCACATGTTGGAGAAGCTGGAGGGGTACCAGTTGCGCTACCACACCGTGGTCGCGAAACCTGGCAAGGGGCCTTCCAGGAAGACGGCCGAGTGGGAGCTCAAGGCCGCGGGGTACAAGTTCACACGGGAGAAAGGGCCGCGCACGAACAATGCGAACCAATTCATGGAGTTCGCGGATCGGGAGAGCTGTCGGCCAGAGTCTCCTACGTTCGGGTGGGAGGAGGGCCGCGTCGAGAGAGCCCTGAATAACTACGCGAAGGGCAGGGCAGACGCCAAGGGCCTCGCGATCTGGATCCCGACGCTTCGCGACTTCGAGCCTTGGTTCCTCAACAACGTGATCAAGCCCATCCTGGAAGCCGTTGGCTTTCAGGATGAGCCGCCATTTCGCATTGGACGCTTCATCGCTAAGACATCCCGCCGCCTCCCGCCAGGCCCGGCGGCGCCATGGCGCAGCATGCCGACATCAAGGAGTACCGCGAGGAGCTCCGCAAGGCAGACATCATTTCCCGCGAGGACTTCTTGCGCCTGGTGAAGCACGCAAGGGTCGCTGACACTGGGGCGCACGCGAACGTACCCTCTTTGCTCGCCCTCATTTTCGCGAAGGTGATGGGCTTCATCTCCGACAAGTGCACGTGCCCGTGCTGCGGTGGGAATGACTATGAAGTCGTGCACCGCAAGGACAAGAGCGCATGGGCATGGCGCTGTCGCGACTGGAGTGGCACATGTGATTCGTGCAAGCCTGAGAGCCACAAGTCTATGACGAAAGGCACCGTCTTCGAAGGCGTGCAGTGTAAATCGTGGATGGATCTCTTGGATGTGACGACGACGTGGCTGTTCGACTACCCCAAAAGGATCATGGGGAGAGAGTCTGGGAGCCACCACTGCGTGATCGATATGTGGGGTTCTACGTTTCAGACAAAGGTTGCATCTGCGCTCCACGCGGCCATGGCATCGAACGGGTACTGGCCGAAAACGAGCAAGAAGCCGAAGCGGAAGAGGGGCGCTCAGGCGAAATCCCGCGCCAGGGTCCGAGCGGTAGCCAAGGCGGCCGCCCCTCGGAGGAACGCCGGTGTCGGCCTCCGCAAGAAGAGCGAGATCAAGAACTACAAGATCGTCGTCCAAGTGGATGAAGCGCACCTGAACAAGCGGAAGCCTGGTCGACTCGCGCGAGCGGCGCGCCCCCAGAAAGATCAGGTGAGGGTGTGGGGTGCAACTGTCCAGGGCCGCCCTGATGTCTGGCTCTTCCGAGTCCCCGACCACCCCCTGGACGCCTTCAAGTGCAAGCCGCGGGGGCACGACGAGATGCTGACGAGCATGCACCTTCTCGGCCTCAAGAAGGGCACTGCGCTGGTCAGCGACTCCTGGGGCGCCACGATCTCGGCCGTGAAGGAGTTCAAGAAGCTCAAGCGCTGGACGGTGAAGGGCCTGCGCCGCGAGCTCGTCGCGCACTCTGCAGGCGAAATTGTGAACCCGAACGGGTTCGCAACCAACGGCATCGAGGCCGTGTGGTCCGTAGTCAAACGCTGGGTTCGCCGCCGCTGCGGCGGTAGAATGCCGAGTCACTCGGGCCGCGAACAGCGGCGCGCGCTGCTGGCGGAGCTGCAGTGGCGCAAGATGAACGCGCACAAGACGTTGGATTGGGGAAATGCGTACTTCGTGCCGTTTGCCGCCCTTGCCGCCGCCTGCAAACCGCTCGAGTGATTGAACATACGAGCGGTGCATGCTATAAAGTTCTGCTGCGCTCGGGCGCACGCGGTGTCCTTTTGATGGGTATTCCTAGGCGAAGCCGTGCTCTCGGCTAGGTGGGAGAAGGATCGGCGCAGTTCTGACGCAGGAAAAGAGAAACAACATGATATACAAATAAATATAGAGAGAGAGAAAGAAAAAGAGAGAAAGAGAGAGAGAGAGAGAGAGAGAGAGAGAGAGAGAAAGAGAGAGAGAGAGAGAGAGAGAGAGAAAGAAAGCAAACGTGGAAAAAAACATGGAGAAAGAGAATGAAAACGATATATGCGTGTATATATATATATATATATATCGAGAGAGAGAGAGAGAGAGAGAGAGAGAGAGAGAGAGAGAGAGAGAGAGAGAGAGAGAGAGAGAGAGAGAGAGAGAGAGAGAGAGACAAAAATTATCCTGGCGAAGGGCCCAACCATGCGCAATTCCGAATGCCGCCGTTGTAAGTATCGTCGTTGGTGGAACACCCGATGGGGCCACGAAGCGTGTGAGAGGTGCGCCAAATGGAGGTGGAACTGCATGCGGACCCTGCCACTGGGGCCTTCGGTGGAGCACCCTGTGGGGCCGCGAAACGTGTGAGGGGTGCGCCGAAATGGAGGTGGAACTGCATGCGGACCCTGCCATTGGCGCCCTCGGTGGAGCTCCCTATGGGGCCGCGAAACGTGTGAGGGGTGCGCCGAAATGGAGGTGGAACTGCATGCGGACCCTGCCACTTGGGCCTTAGGCGGAGCTCTCTATGGGGCCACGAAACGTGTGAGGGGTGCGACGAAATGGAGGTGGAACCGCATGCGGACCCTGACACTTGGACCTTCGGTGGAGCTCCCTATGGGGCCACGAAACGTGTGAGGGGTGCGCCGAAATGGAAGTGGAACTGCATGCGGACCCTGCCACTTAGGCCTTAGGCGGAGCTCCCTATGGGGCCACGAAACGTGTGAGGGGTGCGCCGAAATGGAGGTGGAACTGCATGCGGACCCTGCCACTGGGGCCTCAGGTGGAGCTCCCTATGGGGCCACGAAGCGTGTGAGGGGTGCGCCGAAATGGAGGTGGAACCGCATGCGGACCCTGACACTTGGGCCTTCGGTGGAGCTCCCTATGGGGCCACGAAACGTGTGAGGGGTGCGCCGAAATGGAGGTGGAACCGCATGCGGACCCTGACACTTGGGCCTTCGGTGGAGCTCCCTATGGGGCCACGAAACGTGTGAGGGGTGCGCCGAAATGGAGGTGGAACCGCATGCGGACCCTGACACTTGGGCCTTCGGTGGAGCTCCCTATGGGGCCACGAAACGTGTGAGGGGTGCGCCGAAATGGAGGTGGAACCGCATGCGGACCCTGACACTGGGGCCTTCGGTGGAGCTCCCTATGGGGCCACGAAACGTGTGAGGGGTGCGCCGAAATGGAGGTGGAACCGCATGCGGACCCTGACACTTGGGCCTTCGGTGGAGCTCCCTATGGGGCCACGAAACGTGTGAGGGGTGCGCCGAAATGGAGGTGGAACCGCATGCGGACCCTGACACTTGGGCCTTCGGTGGAGCTCCCTATGGGGCCACGAAACGTGTGAGGGGTGCGCGAAATGGAGGTGGAACCGCATGCGGACCCTGACACTTGGGCCTTCGGTGGAGCTCCCTATGGGGCCACGAAACGTGTGAGGGGTGCGCCGAAATGGAGGTGGAACCGCATGCGGACCCTGACACTTGGGCCTTCGGTGGAGCTCCCTATGGGGCCACGGAACGTGTGAGGGGTGCGCCGAAATGGAGGTGGAACCGCATGCGGACCTTGCCACTGGGGCCTTCGGTGGAGCTCACTATGGGTCCACGAAACGTGTGGCCATGATGGAGACGGCGATGATGATGACGACGATGGTGATAAGAACGATGATGATGATGATGCTGATGATGACGGTGACGATGACGATGATGATGATGCTGATGATGATGATGATGATGATGATGATGATGATGATGGAGGGGAGGAGGGAGGAGGGGGAAGAGGAGGAGAGGAGAGGACGCGGGCACCGTCTCTTCAAAACGAGGACCCAACACCACAGGATGGTTGGGAAAAAAAAAAGTCGCGGGGAGAGAATCGCCTAGGGCTTTCTTTTTAAAAATAAGACACAAAAAAAACATGCCCCCTTTGCGCCTGGAACCGTCTCGGCCTATGCGTTGCAGGCGCGCAGGGCACGGCAGGCGCGGCACTTTCTCGACGCCAGGAGGGTGCGCAGAGGGTGCGGTCTCTATGCGTTGCAGGCGCGCAGGGCACGGCAGGCGTGGGAATTCTCGACGCCAGAGGGGCGCACATGGGGTGCGGTCTCTATGCGTTGCAGGCGCGCAGGGCACGGCAGGCGCGGCACTTTCTCGACGCCAGGAGGGTGCGCAGAGGGTGCGGTCTCTATGCGTGGCAGGCGCGAACGGCACGGCAGGTGTGGGAATTCTCGACACCAGGAGGGTGCACAGGGGGTGCGGTCTCTATGCGTTGCAGGCGCGCAGGGCACGGCAGGCGCGGCATTTTCTCGACACCAGGAGGGTGCGCACGGGGTGCGGTCTCTATGCGTTGCAGGCGCGCAGGGCGCGGCAGGCGTGGGAATTCTCGACGCCAAAAGGGGTGAACAGGGGGTGCGGCCTCTATGCGTTGCAGGCGCGCAGGGCACGGCAGGCGCGGCATTTTCTCGACACCAGGAGGGTGCGCAGGGGGTGCGGTCTCTATGCGTTGCAGGTGCGCAGGGCATGGCAGGCGTGGGAATTCTCGACGCCAGAGGGGGTGCACAGGGGGTGCGGTCTCTATGCGTTGCAGGCGCGCAGGGCGCGGCAGGCGTGGGAATTCTCGACACCAGGGGGGTGCACATCGGGTGCGGTCTCTATGCGTTGCAGGCGCGCAGGGCACGGCAGGCGCGGCATTTCTCGACACCAGGAGGGTGCGCAGGGGGTGCGGTCCTATGCGTTGCAGGTGCGCAGGGCATGGCAGGCGTGGGAATTCTCGACACCAGAGGGGGTGCACAGGGGGTGCGGTCTCCATGCGTTGCAGGCGCGCAGGGCACGGCAGGCGCGGCATTTTCTCGACACCAGAAGGGGTGCACGTCGGGTGCGGTCTCTATGCGCTGCAGGCGCGCAGGGCACGGCAGGCGCGGCATTTTCTCGACACCAGAGGGGGTGCACAGGGGGTGCGGTCTCTATGCGTTGCAGGCGCGGGCACGGCAGGCGCGTCATTTTCTCGACACCAGGAGGGTGCGCAGGGGGTGCCGTCTCTATGCGTTGCAGGCGCGCAGGGCGCGGCAGGCGTGGGAATTCTCGACACCAGAAAGGGTGCACATCGGGTGCGGTCTCTATGCGTTGCAGGCGCGCAGGGCACGGCAGGCGCGGCATTTTCTCGACACCAGGAGGGTGCGCAGGGGGTGCGGTCTCTATGCGCTGCAGGCGCGCAGGGCACGGCAGGCGTGGCACTTTCTCGACACCACAGGGGGTGCACAGGGGGTGCGGTCTCTATGCGTTGCAGGCGCGCAGGGCACGGCAGGCGCGGCATTTTCTCGACACCAGGAGGGTGCGCACGGGGTGCGGTCTCTATGCGTTGCAGGCGCGCAGGGCGCGGCAGGCGTGGGAATTCTCGACGCCAAAAGGGGTGAACAGGGGGTGCGGCCTCTATGCGTTGCAGGCGCGCAGGGCACGGCAGGCGCGGCATTTTCTCGACACCAGGAGTGTGCGCAGGGGGTGCGGTCTCTATGCGTTGCAGGTGCGCAGGGCATGGCAGGCGTGGGAACTGTCGACACCAGAGGAGGTGCACAGGGGGTGCGGTCTCTATGCGTTTCAGGCGTGCAGGGCGCGGCAGGCGTGGCAAAGTCTGGATAACAGAGTGGGGTGCGCGTGGGGTGCGGTCTCTATCCGTTGCAGGCTCGCACGGCGCAGCAGGCGTGTCATTTTCTCTACATCAGAGGGGGCGCGCAGGGAACGGCCACCAACATCATTCTCACATGCTTCTATTTTCAGCTATCATCACTCCAGCCATAATATAAGTATGTGGGGTTCCTCGGTAGCGTAATTGTTTCACAAATTTTGAATATCCCCCCTGTAGAGGGACAGGCCCGACTTAACCCGTGGCGCCCCGCGCGCCTGGCGGCGAGCCGCCGCGACCCAGAGCGGGCCTCCAGGCCGGCCTGTCGAGCAGCGGCGAAGCGCGGGGGTCAGCCAGGGCGCCGGACCTCGCAGGATCCTGCAGGGCGGGGGTGCGCATCTGACCCGGGCTTGGGCGCAGGATCCTGCAGGATCCTACGAGGCCCGGTTGGCCTGGGTTTGGGTTGCCCCGGGTCAGACAATCCCCGAGAAGCGTCAGGCCCACCAAAGAGTGTTCTGAGGGCCTTTTGTGGTCTGCACGAGCTCTTCGCAGAGCATGTCTGGCTGAGACGGTATGGTTGCGTTGCATCGGGCATAGGAATGACCGGACGGTCGGTCCCTGCTCAAGACTGAGCGGTCTGCCATTGAAGAGTTGACCGTAAAGTGCGCGCGGCGGCACACCCGCTGGGATGCAACTCCTAGGAGGTCAAAATTTGAATCGGCGCGGGTTTCCTCCCAAATCAAAATTGGCCCAATCAGCTTCAGTCCCACTTTATCTGGTTTAATCTTGTCCAATCGGGCATCATCCCGCTTAATCTGGCTTGATACTAGGCTTAATCTGGCCTGATCCCACTTAATCCGGCCCAACGCCCCTGAATCGGGCACCCGCCATCACCGCCGTTGCCGCCGTCGTCGTCGTCGTCGTCCCCTATAGTCCTGGCGTTGCAACTTTTCGCACCAGGCGTTTTCGCCCGCTGTCAGGCCACGGGGCCCTCATAGATCGATCCGGCTAGAAAAATGACTCAGAAATATGTCCTGCAACCCTCCTCAGAGTCAAACGCAAGTTTCTCCCGCGGCGTGGCGGCGCCGCAGGACCCCAACGTGTCAATGTTCGCGCCGAAATTGGCGACGGCAGACACAACAAAAAAA